GCGCGGGATCCCAGCGGTTTGGGGCTACAGGGCCTGGGGCCTGGGGTTTGTACAGGTTTTTTGGTTTATCTATCCTACCTACCTACCTACCTACCTACCTACCTACCTACCTACCTACCTAGCCATCTATCCGTCTTCATGTATACATAGAAACATGTTTAAATCCACAGGTCTTCTGCTGCCGGCAACTGCACGAGAACAAAACACATATTATATATAGTTACATATTGTACTTATAGATATCAAACATATGCAGATAGATAGACGGATCGATAGATAGACAGATAGACAGAAACATAGATAGATGGATAGATAGGTATGTACGGAGCATGACTCAGAAACTTAATAGACCCTACAACCTCTAAGCCCCAAGCCCAAAGCCGCTAAGCCTAAACCCTCAGAAGTCCCTATAAGGGCTCTTTCAGGGGTTCCAGTAGGAATATACATAAAAATCTAGCAGGAGCCCTGATATGGTTTAAGGCTTCATGCCGAAAGTAAGCTTACAGAAAGCCTACAGAAACCCTAAACCCTAAACCTTAAACCCCAAGTCCTAAAAGCCTACAGGAACCCTTTTAAAACTATGATTTTAAGGCATCTTCCTTAAATTCTGGGGATAGCCTACAGAAACATTTTTTAAAATATGGTTTAAGGTATCCTAAACCCTAAACCCTACGTATTCCTTGCTTAAGGGATATTGGAAGGTCTGGGAAGTTGGCCTAGAGACTTAAACCCTAAACCCTAAACCCTAACTATTCCTTAACTTAAAGGGATATCGGAAGGTCTGGGAAGTTTCTAAACCCTAAACCCTAAACTCCAAACCCTAAACCCTAAACCCCCAAATTCTAAAACCCTAAACCCCTAAACCCCCAAATCCTAAACCCCCAAACCCCCAAACCCTAAGCCCTTGCGACTTTCAGGCCACGGGGGAGCAGACCTCGGCCGAGTCGAAAAACGCCACGGCCGCTGCCTACTCCCATAAGAAGCTGCTCCTGGGTTCCCTTAAAGGTAGGGTTTAGGGTTTAGGGTTCCCTTAAAGGTAGGGTTTAGGGTTTAGGTCTTAGGGTGTAGGGTTTAGAGTTTAGGGTCGAGGGGGTTTTGGGTTTCGAGTTGGGGGTTTCACGGTATAAGGGGTTAAGCTTTCAGGGTCTTGGTTATCAGGATATGGGGGGTTTCCGAAAATAGGGGACCCTACTGTAGTACCCCAAATAATAGGATCCATATTATAAGGACCCCATAAGGTACCCCTAATTTTCTGAAACTCCCATATGTATTCGGGTCTAGAAGAGACGCGCCACATTCAGGGTCTTTTTATTCAAGGCTTCTACTCCACATGCAAGGGTTTCACTGTTTCACTAGTTCATTGGACGGAATGTACAGTAATTTGAAATTCAGCGAGGTTACACATGTGTTCTAGAATCCGAATTTGTTTTCGGCATACCTACACCCTAAACCCTCACCAATCCTTAACCCCTAGCCTCAACCCCCAATCCTAATCCTCAAACCCCTGTACCCTAAACCCTAACCCCTAAACCCTAAACCCTCAATAATAATCCTCAGACCCTTGTACCGTAAACACTAAACCCTGAACCCTAAACCCTAAACCCTAAACCCTAAAGCCTAACGCCTAAAGCCTAAAGCCTAAAGCTTAAAGCCTAAAGCCTAAAGCCTAAGCCACCGAGAACTCAGGTTCCGTCGGGATCCTTGCTCTGTGGAGCCGCAGCGCAAGGTGGTTGTGCTCATGGGCTTAGGGTTTAGGGTTTAGGGATTTAGGGTTTAGGGTTTAGGGTTTGGGGTTTAGGGGTTTAGGAGTTCAGAGTTTAAGGGGTTTTAGGTGTTATGGGCGATTGAGTTTAGGGGTGTAGGGGTTTCGGGCTTAGGGTTTAGCCTCAGCGCAAGGTGGTTGTGCTCATTGGCATGACGGGCGTGGGCAAAAGTGCTACGGCCAACACACTTTGTGGCGTCACTCGGATTTCGACCCTAAGGGCCCATGCAGCTATATACCAAGAGGGTCCATATATACTACTATTATGGAATTAGGTCCCCAAAACCATGGTAGGGATGGTCTTTTGGGACCTAATTCCATAATGGTAGTGTATATGGACCCTCTGGGATAGTACATATGTGGACTTTAGCGTACCCATAAAGGAACCCCTTTGAGGGTTCTGGCTTCTCCGGAAGTACCCTTTGTGTCTTTTACTTGGTAGGAGTCTGCTTATTAATACAAAATCATCGGAGTAGCCTAAACCCTAAACCCAACTGGACCCCGAAGCCTTAACCCTAAACCCCAAGCCAAGAACCATCATGAGTCCTACGCCCTACATCCCAAACCATATAAACCCTAAAGCCTAAACCCTGAACCTCAAGATAGAAAACGGCCAATATAGGGGCCTAAATAATTGCCAATTCGATTTTGGGGCTTCCTTACTATAGTTATATTTTTTTAATGGGCCCGAAAACCCTATTCTAATTATTAAGGCCCTTAGATTACCTAAACCCTAAACCCTAAACCATAAACCCTTTGATTGGGGAGCCAAGGCCAAGAGAGCCTTTGAGACCTCAAGCTCTGTGGTCTCCGTCACGAGCGCTGAACCTCGGTGCAACGGGGGGCCTTACTGACAACGCTTTAGGGCTTCGGGTTAGGTTTAGGGTTTAGCATTTAGGGTTTAGTTTTTAGGGTTTATTGTTTAGGGTTTAGGGTTTATGGTTCTGGGTTCTACATTTGTAATGAGTGCTGCATTGGGGTTAGTAAGAGGTGTTTATAGGGAGACCTTAATAATTAGAACAGGGTTCCTCTCAAGGGTTCTAGAATCCATGTTCTGTAAGATTTGAATATATGGGCGCCTCAGACTCAGAATAGGTAGTATGGACCAGGTTATAGGGTTTAGGGGGTTCAGGATTATAGCACAAGATACCCCCAAACCCTGCTGAAAGTAATACGGCCCCTAAACCCTAAACCCTAACTAGAGGGTGCCCTTAAGGAAGAAATGACCCCTAAAAGGGATTAGGGTTCCTATGCCATATGGGGATTCATAGTATAAGGGTACAGGGCCCCTACTCCCTTAAGGTCGAGAGGAAGGTATAAGGGCTTTAGGGTTTAGGGTTCTAGTGTTACGGTGGCCTTCAAGAGGTATACGTGCTTATTCAGGACAAAGGTATAGGCTGGTTGTAAGACAACATAGGTACTTGGAGCCGCAGGGTGTCAGAATGTAGGGTATCACGTGGTTGCTTGCTAGCAAACTTACGTTCTTGACAGAAAGTTTCAGGTAAGAGTCCGCGATTACTCTTTCGCTGGGAGCCGTTGGCGTGTTATCGACACGCCAGGCCTTGGAGACACCAACAAGCCTTACGAAGTCACCAAGGCAGAGCTACTGCAAACCTTCCGCTATGCGCCACATGGCATTGCTGGCTTCGTCGTCGTGGTCCCAAAGGGACGGTTCACATCGGAGATGGAACAGCATGTTCGCGATGCGCTCGACATTTTTGGAGGGGAGGTGGCTATCCGACACACGATGATTGCTGTGACGCGTGTGCAGGACGCTCCAGAAAAACTTGTGGACTCTAGGCTCTGCAGTAGTAACCTTTTGGGGTTGAGGGCTTATAGGGGTTTTCATTATCATCAGGGCTCCGGACTCAACTGCTTGACTTATGGGGACAGGGGTCCCCTCAGCCTGAAACCGTATGTACTCTTTGCAGAACCGTTGTGGGACCCCGCTACCCTGGTGCCTCCCCTATACCCTAATCATACAAGCCTTATAGCAGCACTCTAGAACCTTTGTAGAACCCGTAAAGGAGCCCAGTTTGACCCCAAGAAGGAAGCCGTAACCTGGGTTGTTGTTAAGTTAAACGGAATTCCATCTAAGGTATCAGGACAGGGATCTATGATGAATACTATGGTTTCCTTCTTGTGGTTACTTGCATTAAGTTCCTTATAACCATAACCCAGTAAAGGACGACATTATGCGACTGCCTCAAGAACACACCTTGCGGCGGCTCTGCGAACTTGTTGGGCAGCGCATCCTGCCAGTTGCTGGGTTCTTGTTGAGGGGTTTAGGGTTTAGGGGTTTAGGGTTTAGGGTCTTGTCGGGTTTTTAATTAGAGTTTGGGATTTAAGGTTTACTGGTTTAGGGTTCAGGGTCTAATCTTTGGGACATTGACTTGGTTTGAAAGTTTGTATACAGAGCTTTATGTTGGTCTTCGAGGTCGCTTTTTGTGGAACGTGGGTAGAGTTACCAACAGTGCACGTAGTGGTAAACAGGATGCATAAAGTGCTTTCATTATTGTGATAATACCTTGTATCCCAGAGGGTCCGCATATACTACCATTGTGGAATTAGGTCCCAAAAGGCCATTCATATTAGGGTTTTGGGGGCCTAATTCCATAATGGTAGTATAGATGGACCCTTAGGGTATCAAGTCTCTTGACAAAGAGATCAGGTTGAGAACATCAAGGAGCCGGCAGTTGCAGTGTCTCGGCTGCTCCTCCACCGCGGTGTGGACGAAGTACTTGAGACTTAGATAGCCAATGGGAGAACTTTAAACTTTTCGTCCCTATATATTAGATCCTAAACCCTAAACCCTAAACCCTATATATTAGATCTATCTTCAAAAGTTTGAAGTTTTTTTGGCCTGGCTCTTGAAGAGAGGAGATGAACGGTGAAGAGCGCTACTTCCAGACGGCAGCCGCAGCGCCATCGCCCTCAGTGCCGATGTCGTTCGCTGCCGAGGATGTATTTCAGTCTCTTAGTTCGCCAATACCCAACCTTTAAACTTTTTGGGTTCTTATGATTTAGTAGTAATCTCAAAGTTTAACCTTTCATTTCCCTGGCTTGTTGGGGAAGTAAGGTCTCGATGCTCCACTAGCTGGACCCAGTGTCTAGGCCGTTTGGCAACTGATTCTCAATTTTGGCGTAGTATATTCGTAAGAAGGATTATGATGAAGCTACTGCCCAAACCCGAAACCCCAAACCCCCACCCCTAAATCCGTCAACCTGAACTCCCAACCCTCAGCCGTAAACCCTAAATCCGAAACCCTGACCCCTCAACCCTCAACCCTAACCGCCAGCCTCAAACCAAAAGTCTTGAGTTGTAAATTTAGCGGCGCACCAAGATCGGAGCTAGGATTAGGGGGAGCCTTGGGGATATAGACCCTCTCAATAAGGTCCCTTTTGAGAGAGCCAAAAGTAGGGTTCAAAAGGGGTACCCTAAACCCTAAACCCTAAACCCTAAACCCAGCCAAGGTGCGAGGGCACTCCGCGTCTGGTGATCACTTGCGACTTTCCCAAGCTCGGAGAAATGGCTGACGGGATTTGGGTTTAGGGGATCTAGATTCAGATTTTTAGGATTTAGGGTTTAGGGTTTAAGGATTTATAGTTTTTTTAAGGTTTTAGGGGATCTAGATTCAGATTTTAAGGATTTAGGGTTTAGGGTTGAAGGATTTATAGGGTTTAGGGCGGATTAGGGTTTAAGGCTCTGGCTGGTGTTTTTAAGAGTTCTTAGGTTTCAGGGGTCACGGTCTGAGGCGCTCCCAACAGATGGAGCCCTTAACAAGTATGTTTAAAAGGGTTTTGTGGTAGATTCTGCTGCAGAAATCTTATGTACTTAGAGACCTACCGATCTATATGCCAAGCTACTTACCTATCATATATCTACATATCCATCCATCCAGCCATCCATCCATCCATTTATTTATTCATCCATTTATCGTTCACCCATTTCTCGTTCTGTCTATCTGTATCTTCCGCACAAGCTGGTCATATCGGAGTACTGTTTCGAGATATTCAGAACAATCCTGGCCAGTGACGGTGTTCGATGTTGCAAGAAGCACAGTTCTCAATCTTGAAACTTTTTGGTGCTAGGAACTGAGGGCTACATACGTCAACGATGAGGCAGTAGGGTTTAGGGTTCAGCACATTTCTTTCGTTATTGGGAGAACTGGACAGAAAGATTTCTGTAAATTTCATTGATCTTCCTACCATCTTCCTGCCCCAATCCGTAAGCCCTAGACCCCTTCATCTCAAACCCCAAAACCCTTGAATTCCTTAACTTACATCCTCAATCCATTCCAGAAACAGCTATACTTAAGCAAGGGAGTTGCTTGGCCGTTAAACCTCTAAACGCTCCGAACCTCATATCCTAAACCCGCTCCAAACGTCAACATGCAAACAAATAGCCTAAAGCCCAAACCCCGGCGCTAGCCCTTACATCCAAAACCCTAAACCCTACACCCAACCCTCCTATAGTCCCTACTGCAGGCCCTTAACGGCAAGAAACCCCACGAAGCAGGAGTTCAAAGGCGAAGCAGCCACAGCTGAAGTTCCGGCAGCCGAACCACCGTCGCAGGCTCCATGGCTTTGGGGCTGAAATAGTTCCTTTAAGGATGACAGACATCCTAAACCCTCAACCCTAAACCCCCAAGCCCTAAACCCCAAGCCCCTAAACCCCAAACCCCTAAACTCCCTACACCCCTACACCCCTAAACTCTAAACCCTGAGCCCCAAAACCCCAAGCCCTAAACCCCTAAACCCAAACCCCCTAATTAAACCCTAAACCCTAAACCCCTAATCCCAAACCCTAAACCCAACCGACGTGAGGCGCCCGCCGCCCCCTCGGCGTCCTCGGCGCCGCCGCCGCAAGTCCGCCGGCGCTTTCGGGGAAAGACGGCGGTGTGACGCCCACAGAGAAAAGGAGCTCGATGGGTTGGTACTAGGGTGTAGGGCCTACAGTGTAGGGTTTAGGGCCTACAGTGTAGGGTTTAGGGGTATAGGGTTTAGGGTTTAGGGGTTTAGGGTTTAGGGGTTTAGAGGTTTAGGGGTTTCGGGGTTTCGGGGTTTAGGGTTTAGGGTTTAGTTCGGGGTTTAGGGTGTCTTGGGGACCTAAAAGGCGACCCTAACTTAGAGAACTATTCATATGAGGGTCCCTGTGTAGGGTTTGTGTCTTGAGTTTTAAGATTTGCGTCAGAGGCTTCAGCGCTTTCTAGTGATGCCCTAAGGCTCCAAATATCCAAAAGTGGGGTTTAGGGTTTAGGGTTTAGGGTACCATTAATGGACTTTGGACCGCAAAGTAGGTACTATCTGTATACTTGGAGTCTTAGAGATGTTGTACAGGGTGTACAGGGCCGTATTGTCTTGGGCTTAGGTCTTAGGGTTTATAGGGCGCTACAAGGCTCTCTTGTCGAGGGTTTAAGGTTTATACAGCAATGTTGTCTAAGGATTAGAGTCTAGGGTTTTGGGCCCTATCACTTTTGTACATCCTTCGTCCCCCTTGCTGCAGTGTACATTCAGGGTCGTTCGTTGCTTCAGGCTTTGTGTTGGATTCGCCTTTGAAGATCCGCTGATAGGGCTTATGGGTTAGGGTTTTGATGAGGGTTTGGGTAGTAGTGCTCAGTGTTTGGGGTTGAGAGAGTTCAGGGTTTGGGGCTTGCCCTGAACCCCAATATATTTTTTGTGTGAGCGTCCTTATTATGAGTAGTTTAGGGTTTAGGGTTTAGGGTTTATAGGGTTTAGGGATTTAGGGGTTTAGGGGTTTAGGGCTTAAGGGTTTAGGGGTTCAGGCCTTATTTTAAGTAGTATCTACACTGGCTTACTACACTAAGATACGTTTTTAGGGGTCCAGGTAGTGCTCAGGGTTTGGTGTCCAGTCTGGGTCGGCGCTTATTGGGGGTTCATTGGGTGTCCAAATTGGGTTGACTACGGCGAAATAGAAAGTTTCAGAAGGGTGTTACAAGGCTGTCTGCGACCCTAAACCCCAAACTCCTAAACCCTAAACCCTAAACTCCTAAACCCTAAACCCTGAACCCTCAACTCCTGAACCCTAAAACCTAAACCCTAAACCCCTAAACCCTAAACCCGGCAACTTCGAAATTGTAGGAGGGGCTCCTTGGCTGCCTTTGATTTGGGTTTAGGGTTTAGGGTTCAGGGTTTAGGGCTTCCGTGATCCCTAAACCCTAAACCCTAAACCCTAAACCCTAAACCCTAAACCCTGATCATAGGGGATCTCGGCTTAGCACTTGGGGACCCTACGGTTTTTGGGTTTAGGGTTTAGGGTTTAGGGTTTAGGGTTTTAGAGTTTACGGTTTTATGGTTTAGGGCTCAGGGTTTAGGGTTTCAGGGGGTTTGGGTTTAGGGTTTCTGGGTTTTGGGGTTTAGGGCTTCGGGTTTTTGGGTTTTGGGTTTAGGGCTGCATGCACCTTAGGTCTTGCTACACCGGCAGCAAGTCCTACGCCTTGCACATCGCCGCAGCCTCAGCGTTTAAGGTTTCACTTTAGTAGCCGAACAAGTACACTTTACACTTTTTTGGGGTAATATTCTCCGTTATAGAACCGAGGCACTTTTGGAGGGCTGAGGCTTATGAATTCAGCGACTCGGTTGGAGTCGGGATTTTATAGGTCTTGGGGGTTTCTCATACAGTTTTTAAAGTTGTAGGTTCACGCTTCAAGACATATAACGGATTGCTGCAATGACAGAGATGGGATTCGGCTGGCTGAGACTGAGAAGTATCGCGGCATCTGGCTTCAGGTGGGGTAGATAGCGTAGCTTTGCATCGTGTGTGCTTCCGTCATATGGCTCTTTGCGACTGCAAGTTTGTAGCCTAAATCCTAAACCCTAAACCCTTTGCGCTAGTCAGTGTTTAGTGTTTCCATTTGACGGGCTGAGATCTGTAGCTCAATACCTTCGAAATGCGGGCAGTTGAACCCTACCCCCAGGCTCATGGGCCCCCATGTGAAAGCCCAAACCTTAGCCCCCAAAACCCAAACCTTCCCCCAGAAAGCTCACAACAGCAATTAGAGCCTTAGGGTACTTTCCCTAAACCCTAAACCCCAAAACCCAAACCCTAAACCCTAAACCCTCATAGAAAGCCAAAAAGAGTTTGCTGCCGGATTCAGGACAACTAGTGCTAGTATTCCCTAGACATGACTCTTAAGGATTGAGGCTCTTGGGTTTCCAAGTTCTGGGCTGCTTCTGTTTGCGGTTTTAGGGTTTAGGGTTTAGGGTTTAGGGTGTAGGGTTTAGGGTTTAGGGTTGAGGGTTGAGGGTTGAGGGTTTAGGGTTTAGGGTGTAGGGTTTAGGGTTTAGGGTAAGCCATGAGCATTCTTGAACCCTGAGCTAAACCAGCGCGGTGAGGCTCACGGTATACCTTCGCAAGCTGATAAAGGCTCGTTTAGGGTTTAGGGTCTAGGGTTTTAGGGTTTAGGGTCTAGGGTCTAGGCGGCCACAGGGCAAATGCCACCAGTAGTAAAGGTGCCTGAATTGTGACCTAAACAAAATCTTTGGGTTCCTGGACAGAACGTATATAACTGAAACTGTACCATTGTATACCCGGAAGCCCTGTTCAATTTTTTTAAGGCCCCATTCTCTGCGTCCAGAAGCACATCAGGAAAGCTTCGACTGGAACCGCCGAACTCTAAAGCCCAGACGTTTATCTAAGCCTCAAACCTCAACCGTGCAAGGTAGATGACTAAACCGAAAGTCTTTGAGGTTCATATAGAAGCCTGAGTAGTTTTTTGACCAACATCATCCCGTCTATTTGTACTATCATGAGACCCCAAAACACTGTTCTAATTATTAAGGCCCCCCAGTGTTATCTCGAGCCTGCGGGGAAGCTTCCTCCTCAGGACAACCCTCACAAGTGCGGTGGCGCCATGGAGCTTCCAGACAACGGCCTCCGGTTATCGCACCTCGACATAATTAGGATATGGTTTCAGGGCATATTATAGTATAGTTCCAGTAGGGACGTTCAAGCAATAGTATAGCAATCCATCAGGCGTCTACGACCCAACCATATGTTTCTAACGATGCAAGCTTTAGATTCGTTTTAACCTCGTTTCAGATGGACTTCAGAAATGTGTTTTCGGCATTGGTAGTCTTACTAAGAGCTGTGGTGGATTGGCCGTGGAAGTTGTAGGTGTGCCCTTCTGGATTCGCAGGTAAGGCATCCACCTTGGATTGTGTAGGGGTACTCGGGCTATACTTTTGACTGGCAGGCATTCGCAACCCAACCCCTCGATGTTCAGGCGTGAGGCACAGTAGGTTTCAGCCATGGAAGGTTCCGCAACTAGAGCCTCTAAATGGACATAAGCATAAACATAAGCTTTTTACAAGCATATCCCTTCTTGAGATTCTTTATAAAAGGGGTGTTGCATGGGATATCCCAATCCTAAATCCTAAACGTTGCTTATGTGCTTTTTTTTTGGGGGGGGGGCTCAGTTTCTATGGAGACGGGCTTGTTAGCGAGGGGTTCGCACGAATCTTCGAAGCGTCATGGCTCTCGCCAAGAAACCCAAAGTGTATCCAAACAGCTGGTCCTAGACCCTCATACGCCATAATGGAATAACTGACCCCCTAAACAGTCAGGGGCTCCATATTCTATATCTCGTAGTTTTATAGACCCAACAGCCATAAGAAGAATGTGAGCAATGCGCTTGTCATGCTTCATCTGGTCCTTCGGGCTCTAGACCTGGATACCTCAAGCCTCACATCTTCAATGCCGACCCCCAGACCCTGAAGGCCCTACCTGTAGCCGAGATGACCTACCTTGTTAGGGTTCCTTACTATGGTTCTAATTTTAGGGTTTAGGGTTTTAGGGTTTAGGGTTTAGGGTTATATAGTTCCTTCAATAGACAGGTAAGCCGTGGTAAACCCTAAGGCACTAAACCCCACCAAACTCATCGAGCAAGACTCATCGACATGTCAGCAACCCTAAATCCCTCCAAACTCTTCGAAAGAAGGCCCGACAACACAGCAGAAACCCAACCCTAAACCCTAAACCCTAAACCCTAAACCCTAAACCCTAAACCCTGAACCCAGACCCCAAGCCCTTAGCACCCTCAACCTGAGGAGGCTTAAGCCACTACCTAACATCTGCAAAGAGCCCTCAACCCTCCATGGGAGCTCCCACCTCTGCTAAATCCAAAAACAAAGCCTAAACCCTTAGCCCAAACTCTTATAGCTGTTATGGGCTTTCTAGGGGAAGGTTTGGGCTTTGAGGGCTAAGGTTTGGGGTTTCACTATGAGGGTTCGTGAGCCTTAGGGTATAGCGTTGAAGGTTGACCTTATGGACGAAATGACCCTCGAAAGTAGGGGGCCCTATAACCTTTGTACCATGAATCCCTATATGGTACATGAACCCTAAACCCTTTCAGGGGTCATTTCGTCCTTAAGGGAGGGTTTAGGGTTGAAGGTTAGTGTTCAGGTTCCTTATAAAGTGCTTAAGGTTCAGGGTTTAGGGTTTAGGGTTTACGGTTTAGGGTTTAGGGTTTAGGGTTGAAGGTTAGGAACCCTAAACCCCAAACCCTAATATAGGGGCCTTCATAATTACCTACACTATTTTAGGGGTTCCTTATTGTAATTATTGTATAATATACCCCAAAACCCTATTCTAAAACCCTAAACCCCCAAGCCCTAAACCCTAAAAGCCCCAAGCCCCAAGCCCTAAACCCTAAACCCTAAACCCCTAAACCCAGACCCTAAACTCTAAGCCCGAAGGCTCGTCTACTACATCAACCCCCACTGGGACCCGGAAAGCGGCTACAACGGAGGTGGAATGGATGCGGCGCACTTAGTCTCTCAGGGTTCCCATCCTTAAGGACGAAATGAACCCTAAAAGGATTTGGGGTTCATAAACCGTATTCGTGTTCATAGTATACATAAGGATATAGGGCCCCAACTTCTTAGGGTCATTTCGTCCTTAAGGTTGGGGTGCTCCTCCGTATATGAAGGACTACCGAGGACCCTGAACCCAAGAATCTCCAAACCTTAACCGTCTTTAATCGAAGCTTCCAACTGCAAGGCTGACAGGGACATGTAGTTTATGATGGGTCTGGCAGCTCTGTCCCATAGCAAATTTGTCCAACCCGTTGCTGCAATGAAAGCAGGCAGGAATGCCGTAGTCATCTGGTATCCCGTCGATGCCGTGATGATGAAAGGTCAAACAGCGGCCCTTGCCTTGCATCGGGCAGAAAGCATGCCTACTCCATGTTAGCAAAATGTATTGCGAAAAGGGGTCCTGCACGTTTGGGGTGTAGGGTTCAGGGTTTGAAGTTTAGGGTTTGGCGGGTTGTTACCTAAAGCGCAAAGGACACATATTTATTTCGTTACCAATCGGTTTAGGGTCTGGCGGGTTGTTACCCTAAGCGCCCATATTTTGTGCGGGTTCACGATTGAGAGAGTTTTCGGCCACTGGTAAATGCCTTCGCCATTCAAACGAAGATTCAAGGACTTCAATAATTGTGGTGTGCAACAATATATAGGGGCCTTAATAATTAAATGAATAGTATTGGTAATTATTTCGGCTTCTATATTATCCTGGTTCGGGTTGGGTATATTTCATTCAGATACTTGTGCGAGGGCCTTGACATGTTGTTGCCTGAAGAGAGTCTCCGGCACGTTTGGCATTTCCCAAACCCTAAACCCTCAACCCTCAACCCTAAACCCTAAACCCTAACCATGGCAGCCTGTATCAGGTATTTGTTGCGCTCTATGACAGTCCTCAAGGACGAAATGACCCGTAAATGCAGGCCCCTTTGCCCTTATACCATGAGTCCCTCTACGGTAATATAAACCCTAAACCCTTTTAGGGTTCATTTCGTCCTTAGCGTCTAAAACCTAAGCCCTAAACCTTAAACCCTAATCCCTAAACCCTAGACCCTTTTAGGGTTCATTTCGTCCCTAAGGCTGTTGATCTGTGTTTTGGAGGGTGTAGGCGATCGGTCTTGCACGCGATGCCCTGAGGCTTAAAGGCCGGAACCCTCAGTTTGCAGCGGATTCTGTGGGTTCCGGATTTAGGTTGACGGTTACCAAATCCCTAAACCCTACACCCTAAATCCTAAACCCCTAAACCCCTAAACGTGTCCCTTGAAAGATCCGGTAGAGTTGTTTCGTTTCAGGTCTTCTTGACAGATCCGCGCATAGCACCGCCATCTGCCTCCACCGCGAGGCAGCCCCGCACGCTCGAGGGTCCAGGCGACGTCGTACGGTTGATGAGAAAAATCATACGAAAATCCTGCATTACCCATCATAAGGAATATAACATAATTCCCATAGTTTAGAGTTTGTAAGGTATTGCAGGATTTATAGCATCAAGAGTATTTAAGGGTTTATGGTTTAGGCCGTGTCGTGGCGGGGGCTGTGGCTTCTCTGGTAATTATAGTACCCTTGCCTTTTCTAAACCCTAAGTATCCCTCAACAGATTGCGGACCCTCCTCCGGAGATGCCTGGACCCTTATTAGGGCTAACCAATAATCATATACAGCCGCACAACACGAACTCTAAAGTACTTACCCCACGCCCAGGTACCTGATCACGGGTCTTCTGCACCCTTGAAATTCTAATCCCTGAACCAGAAATCCGCACACTCCAATACAACTAAACCAATCCTTAGAATTTTGAAGCCCCTTCAACCCTAAACCCTAAACCCCATAGACCCTAACCTCATCTAAACCTGAGCCCTAGACCGGGCTAGTGGGCTTCTATAGACCCTTTGACCCCTCAACACTTAAACGCCTGAATCCTAAAATCCCTAAGGCTCTAAGGACTCATATGTAACGGCTTTTGGGACCAAACATCCTCTCATTAAAGGCTTCTGGGCTATTTTTGAGCCTTGGGGTAAGCCCTCACGAGACCCTCGGGGTATTGAGACACGAACCTTCAGGACGAAATGAACCCTAAAAGGGTTTCGGGTTCATAAACCACATAGGGATTCATAGTACAAGGGTATAGGGCCCCTACTTTTAAAGGTCATTTCCCAAACCCCAAACCCTAAACCCTGTAAATTCTAAACCCTATAAATCCTAAACCCTATAAATCCTAAACCCTATAAATCCTAAACCCTAAACCCTCAACCCTAAACCTTAAACCCAAATCCTAAACCTTAAACCCTAAACCTTAAACCCTACAAACCCTAAACCAAACCCCAAACCCTAAACCCTATCAACCCTCAACACCAAACCCTATAAACCCTAAACCCTCTGAGCCCTCAACCCTCAACCCTAAACCCTCAACCCTCAACCCTAAACCTATATAAACCCTTTAAACCCTCAACCCTCAACCCTAAACCCTAAACCCTAACCCCTATAAACCCTAACCCTCAAGCCTCAACCCTAAACCCTATAAACCCTCAACCCTCAACCCTAAACCCTATAAACGCTATAAACCCTCTATAAACCCTCAACCCTAAACCCTCAACCCTAAACCCTATAAGCCCTATGAACCCTATAAACCCTATAAGCCCTAAACCCAAACCTGATAAACCCCATAAACCCTCAACCCTAAGCTCCGAAAGCTGCCGCAGAGGAAAGCACCGAAGCTCCGCATCGCTCCTCATGCCACGAGCTCGGAACTCCTTCGCAGAATTAGGGGCTTTTAGGGTTTTAAGGGGTTTTCAGGGTTTTTCGGTTTGTTCGGGTTTTTTAGGGTTTTTGTTTTTTTTGGGGGTTTTTAGGTTTTTTAGGGCTTTTAGGGTTTAGGAGTTAAGGGTTTAGGGTTAAGGGTTTAGGGTTTAGGTAGTAATCCCCTATAGTTCGTATCCTAAAGGGTCCTTTAAGCATCCCTCAAGAGGTTCTTCCAAGAGTTCTATGAGAGCTTTGGGGTTTTGCTTTTAGAGGGTTTTGGGTTTAGGGTTCAGGGCTTGGGGCTTATAGGGTTTAGGGTATCAGGGTCCATGATAGCCGGTGAAAGAACTGTAAGATGGTTGGCTGCATATGTTTATGGTTAAAGTTGATTTTTGCGAGGCCCGGCTATGAAACGTCCTTGACAGGGAACTCTAATGATCTAATGAGGGTATGCGAGTACATGGGGAGTATGAGACTATAGGTACTTTAACCCGTACCCATTTCAAGGTTTTAATTTTCAAGGGTTGGACGTAAACGAAACCCTTAAACCGTTTAGGGGCAGTGCTATGGCTCCTTGTTCGGGCCTCGTCTTTTCTCCATTGTTGGGTTAGTTGTTCGGTTTATAAATCATAATTGTTCCGGGTTCTGCGCCCTTTTCCATACGGTATCCAGAAACAGTGCTTTTGGAAAACTACGTACACCGTGAACCCCCGCCCCATCCCTGATACCCCACATGCTAGACATCAACCACGAGCTAACGCGCATGTTGTCCTCAAACTCTTGAGCCTAAGCCCCAAGCCTAAACCCTACAGTACAACCCCTATTTAGAGTGCCTGATTATGAGTTCCTTACTTGGTTCAGGTAAACTGCAAACCGTTTTTGATCCTCACGAAACCCTAAACCCTAAACCCTAAACCCAAAACCAAAGCCCTAAGCTCAACCCTGAAGACATCAAGCATGTCGTTAGCATGGCAGCGGTGTTGTCAAATTCTGCCAACAGGTCTGATAAGGTGACACGCAAAAGACAGCGTGTGCCATCCACCGACTCACTTTAGGGGTTTGGGGTTTGGGTTTAGGGTTTAGGGTTTTAGCGTTCGGGTTTAGGGCTTACCGGGTTTAGGGTTTAGGGTTCGGGTTTAGGGTTTAGGGTTTTGGGGTTGGGGTTTAGGGTTTAGGGTGCCGATCGCCTCTATGCTGCTCAGGCTGGATTAGCCGAGGCAGTGTTGCGCCGCAAATTGGATCAGGACAACCCTACTTAGAGGCCCAGGGGACTTAGTAAGCCGGTTATAAGTAAGGTTATAACTAGGGTAACTCCATTTAGGGTACTTATAACTCTACTTATAACCTACTTACTAAGTCCCCTGGGCCTCCAAGTAGACCCTAAACTCAACCATAGTCCAGCTGCTGTCACTGGTTATCCCTGGGACGCGAAGTGGAGCACAGGAAGGACGCAGATTCGAGCATCTAGGGTTTAGGGTTGAGGCTGTAGGTTTTAGGGTTTAGTTTCTAGGGTTTGTAGGGTTGAGGTTGCAAGGTTTAGGCTTAGATTGTAGGGTTTAGGTTCTAGGGTTTAGGGTTTTAGGTTGTACCTGTAGCCGAAAAGAGATGCCTTTCTCGGGACCATGATTATAGTTTCTATATATAGTTCCTCAAAAAGGTAGGAAAGAAGAAAGGCAGGTCTTTTGGGCCACAGGTAGGGTTCACATGGTTTTTTGGTTGACGAACACAGCACAGCAGCTTGCTGAGACTCCTCCTGCGCTTCAGGGGGTTCCTGCTGCGCCATGGGCCATCCTTGAGGACGAAATGAACCCTAAAAGGGTTTAGGGTTAAGGATTTAAGGCTTGGGGTTTAGGGTTTAAGGTTTAGGGTTTAGGATTGGGGGTTTAGGGTTTAGGGTTTGGGGTTCATATACAATATGGAGGTTCATGGTGTATAAAGCTAGTGGAGCCCTCTACCCTGACCCTCCCAGGGGCTTCAC